TTAACCATTCGACTAACCATATTAAAATAAAAGAGATATTATTTTTTCTAAAAAATATTTATTGTCTTAGAAGTAAATAACTAGGTAAATGATCGAAATAATTAGATCATGATGTTTTTTTTTTCAAATTTATTGAATAACAATAAGTATGTACATTTAATATATATTATTTTATAAAATATAAAGCACAAAATATATAAAATTTTACCACCAACGCAATCGTTTTACTCCATATTTTTTATAACTGCGTTGCATCTTATTAAACCTCTTTTCATAATATCGGTCGCACGCTCCTTGTTCTTCATAATAAAATGTTGGAGTATCGCTTTCATTATCATCATCTTCTGAGTCATCATCTTCGGAGTCATCATCTTCTGAGTAATCATTTTCGGAGTCATCATCTTCTGAGTAATCATCTTCGGAGTCTTCGTTAAATTTCCTTTTCCTATCGGAGGATATTATATGTACCTCATCATCACCGTTATTTTCACACTTGGCGGTGAAGCACTTTGAGATATTACTTTCGTTGAAAGAATTAATTTTCTTGTCGGAGGATAATGCATCATCATCGACGTTTATTATATCTGCCTCATCATTACCGTTTTCAATATATATTACTTCTATAGATATGTGATTTTCACTGATGGTATCGTAAACACAATTCTTTTCATCGAAGCAAAGCATGTCCTCGTCATCACTAATATCCTCGTACATTAACTTATTCATTTTTCTAGTTTTGTTGATAGTTTGTGTTGTTACTGCTACAAGTGATTGCAAGAAACTGATGCATTTGCAATGATTAGCTGATCTTTTATAGTACATCCCTTTTGCAAAGGTATTATCAAAATTGCCAACAAGCCAACGTGTTTATTGGGGTCATAAAATCAGGTATATTATATTATTAACATGAATTTAGAAAAACCCACCCTTTGGCCCAGTAAAAAGAGTAATTAATTGTATTTAATTTGCCCGAATGCGAAAATGGCTGGACTCATTTATTGGGGTCGTAAAATCAGGTATATTTTATTATATATTTTATAACAAGAAGCAAGTTTAGTGAATTAACATGAATTTAGAAAAACACACCCTTATTAATTAATATGTGAAAGCTATACCTTTTCTTAGAATATTTTTCCGTTTCCTTTAAAAACAAAGTTCAATAATTTTATATGTAAATTAAATGAACAAATATCAGGTTTAATAAAATTTTGTCACACGTTACTTTTTTTACTGCAAGATAGAAGTGTTATACCATATTCCCCATATATTAAATTTAATTTCTATGATTACCAAGTTTTCTATCTACAGGAAATACATTTGGTAGTAATATCATTTTTTTACGTCATGTAATTTTATTCACAATCTGTTCATCGATGTGAAAATTCAGTATATTTAAGATGGCGGTTGACATTAGGCAGGTAAACTTTCCCGGTGGATAGTTACCATTATGACGTTTTTTTTTTTTAAATTTTAATTTGTAGGTTGGCTGTTGTCTTGTAGATTAACTTCAGTATTATATTGATGCTCTGCAATTGCTCTACTTCCTTTCACGGTGAATCTGCTCCTATCCTTAACACTCTCATTTTCCATCGACTTGGCTCAAGGTCCATATGATGAACCTCATTCATTTCACTGTCTATGTGTGATGAACGATGGCCCTATATATATATAATATTTCATTTTTATTAATTGAGCCACAACAAAACTCTTCAAGAACTGCATGCGGCTTCTGTGCCACAGTTTGCCACACCTGATCTATACTATACGTATTATTAGAATTTATCAAGTTTTATTTCATATTTACGATTTCTTCCTTATTTTATTCCAACATTATTAAATGGATAACATCCAAGCTTGGCTCAAGAAATGGAAGATTAAAGTCAACGCATGTAACACTACTATCGATGTGATCCAGAGGTTTCAATCAAAGACTCTGTGAATGGTCACCGGGCTACCGTGGTTTGTGATACGACGATATTCATTCTTTCACCGACACCAAACTTGTGAAGATAAGTAAACTTAGTGAGATAAGTAAACTCAGCGGTAATTATCAACACCAGCTGGATATTCACCCCTTGCTGTAGAGCTGACTAACACAGAGAACCATTGCCTAAGATTGAAGCGTTTCAAGATCTACTAAATCGTTTTTGGAATAAGTAATTCGTGCGTGTCTTGATTGTGCGTGTGCTCTCCTTGACTCTTTTTATATTTTTTGTTTGTTTTAATTGTTACCAGTCCAGTTCATTATCTTATAAAATATAGATGGCCGAAAAAAAAATTAATAACAAATTTCTAGACAAGTGAATCAAACAACTTCATCAACTTAATAAATCCATCCCTTGACATACAACCAAAAGGGTAATTCTTCTTTTCCAGATATTTTCTAGAAAATTATAATAATGTCCTACTAGGCATGTTCAAAAGGTGGTACAATGCATATCCCACCTCTCCTCAAAGAGTTAATACATACTTATTATTCAGACATTCTTACTTCAATTTTATAACTGTTGTTATTATTATGTAATCAGAACCGCAGTGGAGGGGACGACGGCTCTAGACACATCAATTGGTGGTACAAGATTTCTTTAGTAAAGCATATTGAAAAAGGAAATGTTTGGCCACAGGCGCAAGATTTCCTTGTTGTGACACTGTATGTAATAAATAAATGTACTTGGTTACATTTTATCTTTTTTTTATATAAAATCACATGTTTTTACAAATTTGCAATGCGTTTAAAGTCCGATGCATTAATAATATAATAAAAGATAATTGAAGCTATTATATAATTATTACATTAAAACTTAATGTACAGTAATATCATATACAAAATGCAAGATTTAATAATTTCATAATCAGCAAATATACACTGTATATTAGTAATATAACAGTTTTGTGTTGACTTATCTAATTTAACTAGATATCATAATTTGTTAAGTTATCGAAGACACAAATAATATTTAACTGGAAAACCAGTAAAAATTATCTGTTTTTCTTACAGATTATAGCATCCCATAGGAGCTCATGCGCATCAACGGCTGCTTCGAGATTTTTGGCGGGGGAATAACGCCTATTTATATAACGTTTTTAAAGCACGTGTCGGAGGGCAGATGTACTTCCGACTTCCAAACAACCAAATTCTCAGTTAGACGTAGATCTGTTTACCAGCATCAGTGAAGTGCTGACTACAGTAACAAGAAGATGCCAAACAATTGGTCCAATCAGACCGACACACAAAACAGCGATCATGACGTTAAAGTACTAATCTCATTATTCGATGAATATAAGATGCAGAAAGTGCCGGATGTTGTTAAGACGGAAGGAGTAAACTCGTGGGATGATAAGATGTCGAAGTTCATTGATCTGCTACAAAACCAAACAACTGCTCAAGGTGATAATCAATGTTTTCATAATATGGATTTGGATAAATTCAAATTCGATGAACTTGCGTGCTATTGGACAAAGAAGAGAAGGAGGAACGTTGCCACTTGGGAGAAATTGGTGAAACATTTGTTATCCAATTCTGATAGTGCGGAAACTGTTCTTATGGGAAATCCAATAGAACATAAAGATTGTCAAGATAATAGTTTAACTTCTAAGACAAAAACACAAAATCATTCTGCTACGAAACAAATAGACAAATATCAATAAGAAATTCTAGCTCAAGTGAAAATAATTATAATTAAGGCACTATTTACCAAAGACACTTTTTCATTTATTTGTTATTATTATTTTTAAACATATGTTAATGTTATCTTAGAATTTTCTTTATTTTCTGTATGCGTTCGATAATTTTATAAATAAAAATAATTTTGTATTTTGCATCTTGTCTATTGTTTAATTCTAATTTATTTCCAAACATGTAATAATGTTATTAATAATTTACTCAAAGATTTTTATTAACTCAATTTCATGACATTGAAAAAGGATTCACTTTCAGAGCTACAAGGCTACATTTTATTTATTTTTAGTATATTTATTTTCATTTCATTTTGTTTTATTTATAGAATATTGTTTATTACTATATAATATTAATTATGACTAAAAGAGAAGTATATTTGTTATACTATGTCTAGAATATATGAGTTTAACTTTATGGAAACATAATCGGAATAAATTAGTTTGTAAAATTGAAAGAGTCAACGTTATTTTTAAACTAGAATAACATGTTTACACAACAATCCTGCTGTTTAAATTAGCTCTTACACTTATTTATGTTTTCCAGAAATTTAGAATACTTGTCAGTCGATAGCCCTTTGGCCAGCATGTTATTTTTTTTATTTTTATTATTTAGTTGTTATTATCATTTATTTATAGAATGTATTTTTTTGTATTATCTGTTTGTCCAATAAATTATTATTATACATTGTTTAAATATTTTTGAAAATACAAAACATAGTAAATAGTAATTTTAGTAGTAAATATAAAAGTAAATTGGGTTGCCTACGATTATATGCATACTAGAAATATAGCCATGGTATATAGTAATACCTCGCATAGGACTGGTCGAAACTGGACTAATCGAGGAATTAAATACATAAACAAACTTGACTATACTGTGTAAAATAACAATTGAAATTTTTCAACCGGACTATAGCGAATCCTCATTAGGCGAGGAATTACTGTACTTGTTTGTATTTGTATCATGGGTAAAAATAGTAAAGTAATCTTATTACTAATAGATTTGTCTATATTTTATAATTTTATTTGCTAATTCTATACTAAATTTTACTTTATATATAGTATTCAAAAATTGTAGTTTTATTAACATTATACAAAGATAGATTCATATCATGGATAGATGAAGTTATATAAAAGCAATTCATGTTTTTTAGTACTTTTTATACTTCAGGACTTAATTGTATATTTTTTTTTAATTGTGTTTATAGATTGCAAACATGATATAAATATATCGTGGTTGGAATATAAAAGGTAGACACAAAAATAATTAATAGTTTTTAGTAATGATACACAAGTAAAAGATTAAAAAATAAAACATCAGATTAAGCAATGAAATATCATTTATTTCATTATTCAACAACCCAAATTAACAAAAAGGCTCTAATAATAACAAGGTATGACTTATTTTCACTAAAACATAAAATAGAATAATAAAAAGAAAGAGTACACTTTTATTCGTCGTACACATAATTATTTATATATAAATATTATAGTGTCGATTAAAGTGAAATCTTCTGCAAAGGTTTTAAAATCTATTCCGAACATATTAACTATTTAAACAGACAAAAAATAATAATAATAACAACGACTCAATGGTGAATCGCAAACAGTGTTTTGTAGTTAGTCTCGATCACAATAAATTTGCTTACGTTAAAAAAAAATAAACAAAACATAATAAAAATATATATTCTTTTCATGTATGTACAAGATGTGAAGATAAAACTTTACAAATTACAAAAAAAACCTATTTTGTAAAAAATATGTATACATATTCTAAATCGATAATAACTATAATTGTAATAATAATCCGAGAAAAATATCCGGCCCTTTATAATCATGTTTTATGTGTACGTTCTTCTTTTTCTTGTTGTTTTCTTGCGAATTCTTCCGGATTCAATATCTGACCGGTTGCCAAGTTCCGGAGTGCTCATCCCGCCGGAAATAGTGAGGACGATTATCCCGGAAGACGGTCACCGCAGGAAACTGATTGTCCTGGATGTACTTTAATGTTGCCCTTATCTGGAAATTAGATTCATTAGGATCTTGGTGTTGGTGTTATGTGAAACCCTTTTCTTACCTGCATCACGAAATGTGGTGGTTCCACTTCCGGCGATGTGGACAGATGCTGCAGAATGAAATCGTCGCTCTGCTCCAACCACAAGTCGACTCCCCTCAAGGGTTCGTAATTAAATGGCCCAATTCTCAAGAAGCCTAAATTACTATCGTAAATATCCAATACCTGCAAACGCGTAAACGGGTTCTCTGTTAAGTATACAATATATAGATAGGCCTTTTTTATGATTACCTGTGCAACTCCTGTCAGATACTTGGCGCACCTGAGGGCCTGATCGGGACCTTTGTCTGGGAACGTCGCGGGGAAGATCTCTCCAGTTTTTACGTTCACTCCAACTCCACAAATCATTGGCCAATGGATGCCACCGCGTATCGTCGTGTTCAATTCGCCCACACAAGCCAATGTCAAGTCAATTTCCACTGGATGTTTGTGAAAGGAATCTGTAAATGCACACATCATTTGTTAGTACATCAGAAATAAAGGAACAATACAAGTTATAACACCAGTAGAGTCATTTATTACATAATTAACAAATATAGGAATGCAGTATAACTTATTTTAAAAATGAAAATATTTATATATTTAATATAAAAGTTTTAAGTCTTCACAACATCAACTAGTTTTGTTTAATTGGAGTATGTCCATAGTCTTGGTACAATTATAAAACAATTTACATAAATTTGAAAACTAAAATATTGAAAATGGATTTTACGTTTTATAAAACTTATTTTTTTTTTAAATAATTTTTTATAAAATAATAGGAGAATTATATAAAACTCATATCAATTAATTGAAATTATTATCCGTATGTTCATGGTTTGCGTAATTAATTGTATAGGATTAGTTTGATATTAATTCTGATTTATTGGAAAACATCATTAGTTGCACTCTCAATGATAACGTAATAGATATGTAGTATTTGTATGTAATTATCTGAAGTAGATGTTTATGTTCATTTATTTGTTTCTTCCTATTATTTTATATATTATGTTATATATAAAGTATTATATGAGAGAAAAGTCTAAGGAGCCGTACAGTCACTAACTAGTGAAATGATTTTTTTCACTGTGATCTCTGTAATATGTAATTATTTTTTAACAGTATATATAAGCAATGTAGTCTATTATTAGTAAATATAGTCAATAATTTTATAGCAAAAAATTATAAAACAATATATTTTTGCGAAAAATTGTAGCTAAATCACCAGGGCCACCCTAACCACAGTGCTAAAAGGGTTATAGCCAGTCTTTCGGGGCTACAGTTTTGCTTCCCCTCGCGTGTAATTTCTTCATAAGAAATACTGGGCGCAGTACTGTTAGAATCACACGGACGTCAAATATCTTAGAACGGACCTGTAAATCATGTGGTTGAAGAACACTGATCTAAATATTTATTAGATAACTATTAACATTTACAATGAGAATAACAAGTGCTAAATAACCGTATTTATTGGCAGGAATATAAACGAAATTATTTACTTCCAAAGCGAGTATATGAACACATTTACATTGATTCCTCGTTATGTTAGCAAGAAGACCGAACACTGCAAAACCAGATATAGTATAAATAACATGTCCATGTATCAGGCAACACAAAAGGTGGTTATTGGAATGCGTACGTTCGACCAAATGAACAATCGTTTTTTTTTATGAATATTCCACAAAGTTACATTATGAAATTAATGCAAAAAAAAAACTGGTACAAAAGATTTACGTGTAACGGCAAACTTGCAAATTCTTTTGTTGAATTCAATGAAAAGGAACAAAAAAATACAGCAAATACTTCAATTCCTTATCAGTGCGAGCAAAATTCACTGACGCATGAGAAAACTCCAGCAATGTTCGCAAATCGCAAAGAGCAAACATATTTTTGTTTACTGCACATTTCGTACCAATTAATTAATGATGCTTAATTAGCGGGATTTGCGTTTCGTTCAGTTACTCACTCATTATGTTGTAGAAGAGTTCTTCTGAGTAATGATGGGCGTCGCTGAAGCCTCCAACCAACTGTAGCTCAATGCGTCCTTCCGGATAACCTAAGGCCAACTCCTGGACTCTTTGCACCATCGTGCAGACAGCCTCATCGGTGCCGGATCCATCGAGATGGGCCAAAGCCACAGCGCCAGATCCTGAAATCCAAAAAATGCACAGCATAAGTAAATAATACGGGAGAAGGATCAGGTGAAAATACACCGAAGAAAAGAAAGAAATATTGGAGTCGCCCACGCGATTATTTATTTTTTATACCGCGGTAATTGTGATTTAGTGGTTCTGGCCTCATTGTCGTTTCACGAGCTGCTATCGTTTATCACTCATCCCGTTTCTAAATTATTGGTAAGGATGAAAAGGAAGGAACAGGACTTCATTATTCTCTACTGCAGACGTGAGCCCTGTTAATCTTTGGAGAGTCCGGGTGGAGGTAAAACTTGTGCATTAAATCCTTCGATTTATGCCAACTGTTAAAAAATCGCAGGAGTAATTCCGCTGCGAGGCACTTTGTCATATTTAAGCACTCGACACGGTGTATTTCACGTCCGGGGGGATAATTAAATAACGGAAATTGATGCGATTTTAAATTGCTTTTAAACTGGCCACGATTTATGGGCTTTCTTCAATTTGCAAATCGAAACCAACAAAAATAAAAAGAAAGAACAAGAGCCGTTGCGCAAACATCGCATTTAGCGTGCGACGACGATAAATCCGCACCGACGGGGTCTCCTCTACTCGTTAAGGAAGAACGAATGTTTAACAGAAAATAAAATAACGATTTTAACACGTTCACGTTTCATAATTAGATCTTTATATTCCTCAAAAACATTACACATACAAATCTAAAAGTTTATTTGAAGACAATACAATTTATTCTTTATCAAAGTATTATTTAAGATATTTCTTCTACTAAGTTAGATATATTTATTACGAACTTTTATTATTAATATAATTATAATTATTTAAACAAAAATTTAACTATTAGTTCAAGTCAATAATATTACATTTATTTTTAGTATGTTTTTAAATATTACGTTTGTTGTGCGTCAACAGCCTTTAGTAACCCACATCTCGTATATCGTGTGTTGTTTAATTGAAATTTACTTGATTTGTCGTGGATGCAATTAAAGCACGTTAAAGTGGAAGACGAGAACTATGTTGATGTAAGAATACACAGGTCAACGAATTATCTTAAGTCTACTATTAAAAATTTCTAACTTTTAGATAAATAATGTGAATAAAAATAACTTTTTGAACTATTGAATTGTGGGAGAAATGTGTCTGAAAATAATGAAAAAAGAAACAAGATTGAATTTAATTAATAATAAACTGATTTTGTTTAATTGATATTTCTCAATTCATATTTACTCAAAGATTTCATGATATATTCAATTACGTAGCATTTTATAGCAGTAGTGTGTTTAGCGTATTTCATGCGCAATTATTGACGAACTTCGAACGCAGTGAAATAACGCTTTTTTTATATTCATATGTTGCGTATATTATATGAAAATATTTACTATGTTCAACTGTTGCTTAACTTTAAAATATCAATAAAAAAATCTATTAATTAAATTGTTATTTAAATTCATAGTGTATAGACACTCTACAGTTTTATGGACTTGTAATTATATACAATATATTTTTTTGATTATAATTTTCATTATTTAAATAAAAAAATGTTGAAACATATGACTTACATTGTTTAAAAAAAAATCCATTTTACAATTCCTTATCTTAAAGAAACCTACTTAATATTGTTGATGTATTGATGTGATTCAACATAATTATTGACTTTATTATACGTTTGTTACTATTGAGAGATCCTTGTTCTTGTGGAATTTCATTTGCATTTTGGTACAAGATGTTCCGTAGAAAGGATGTCAGATGTATGCTAATAGTGTGCATGTAAAGCACAGCAGAGCGACTCAAATATTCAATAGAAACGTTCATTGAGTGACACACTACATAGTTACATTATTAATTGGCTAATAAACCGCATAACCGAGTATTGCATTTCTAAATAATTCAATTTCCTTGTATAAACATATATGTTAAGAGACAGAGTGTATAATTAGGTATTATATAAAATTCCCAAGTATTTCGTAGACTAGCTAAAACTATTAATTCAATTTATCAAGGACCTATGAGAACCACGCGACCCAACATATTTGTTCCACGCTTCGACAAATGACTGCTTTCATTTCGCAACCCATAGTTTGAGGAACTCTGATATAGAAACTCTGATTCTTCATTCTATCATACTTAATAATAAATTAATATAGAAGATGCAGTCATTATTTTAATAACCGAATGAATATAAGATGAATAACAATGGTTGCTCCCTCGTGACCAAAGTGAAAATAATTGTCCTCGTATTTTTTATGCGTCTTTCGGTATGATTACCATTCCACGAGAAATTTTCCGAACCGATGATTATTGATTCCAATAACGGCAATAAAACTCCTTTTATGAGACAATGGGACAACGAGACCCCGAATTAAATCTAATTTCGCGCAACAATAATAATGAATCATTATTATGATTACCGGTGAAGAAGAACAAAACAAAACCGCTCCGACTCCATCCATTTCATGGCATCTTCGTCCTTTTATTTCGTATCCTTGCACCGTTGTTGTACTTCATCGTCCAAGACGCACGGACGGATATTTCTTCTACTTCTTCGGCTCCTACCGTCGTCTTCTTTTTATTTTCCCTCGCCGTATTATTCTTTTTGTTTGTATTTCTTTTCGAAATTGCTTCTTCTCTCCGTTTTTTATTTCATTCTTTTCCTTTTAATTCCGTGCAATACTCGACGCGAACAGGTACTAATTTCGAAAGCCGTGCTCTGCAATTATACGTGTAAACCGCGTATTATAACCGCTTATTCTTCCTCGTTATCTCGCAGACATCTGCAACACAAATTTATACACAATTCCTCTTTTTTGTTCCCTTTAACACACGGCCCGAACTTGACGTGCTTCTCTTCTCTCTACGTTTTTCTGGTCCTTGAGCTGACCACTGTCTTGCATACCAAAACAGTATTCGCAAGTATTTATTTTTTTTCTTAATAAAGCACTTTATATATATTTAATAAATAAATGTATAAAGAATTGTTGATGACGCCGTAAGTAAACCTAAAGACTTTACTTTTAGGATCATCACTGAACCACTTTTAATTTGAGTATGGGTATTAAGAAATTAATTGTACTTTGTGAAGTAACTGTCGTAACAATGACCTTTATTTCCAACTTGAACTTTTCGTTGTATTCGATTGATTTATAAATGAAATCTATAAGACTTAATTTCAAGATTATTCCAATCACTATTCGCCAAAATAGTGTTAGATTAATGATAATTGTAAGAAACATGTTTCCAATTTTGTGTAGTTCTTTCAATATATCACCTTTCATTAAGTAGTATTCAGGAAACAACGTTTAACTGAACATAGTATTTAATATTGCTAAAAAATCATACCTAAAATATGGTTTTATTGTTTGTACGAAGAGTTGATACCCGAAGGCACTGCGGGTACGATTTTTGCCTTTGTTATATGGAATCCGTTAGGACCATAAATTATCGTCCTCGGGTCTAATATAACAGTTCTCGAAGATCTTCCATGTTTACTCTTGTTTAATAAACGGGTATTACATATTGCAACTAAGTAAATGAACCGAACGGTAATCAACTCCAGGAACAAAAAGTTAGTATCTAATTAGTAGTCATTTAAGATGCATTAAAGTATCGATAGTTCATATAAAACTGAGAAATACCATAAAGTTCCTTATTTGATGAATCAATCTGTAATTAACTGTTAGTTACTTTTTTTCTAAAATATTTTTTATCAATTTATTATAATAAACTATAAATTTTCCTTTAAGATAATTAAATACGTAATAAAACTTTCTTATTTCCAAATCAAAAATATTTTCATAATTACAAAAAACGGATTTGTAAGTTAATAGTTTATTATCTAATCATAGTTCTGAGTTTTTTATTATTCGACATGAAAAATCGGAATGAATCATTAGTTTCACATCTTCAAGTTTTATCAAATGATTTTCAATATTCTGGATTATTATAAGCAACATCTTAGCTAACGCTAGTGGATCACATTCGTTAACCGAATATAGATGGTATACTTAAGTTATATACCATAACCTAGATTAGGTTATAATATTCAAGTACACACTTTAGCAATCTGTACAGTGGCGGATTTAGCACTTGAGAGACTCCAGGAGCAATTTAATGTCAATTTCATGGTCATGGATGCTTTGACAAGTACCTGCACTTCATCGAGTATAAAGACGAAAGGTGATGGTACTGTGAGGAGGACGACAGCCCTGAAGCCAGCACTGAAGCAAGTTAACCAGGAAGTGCCAGATAGGCAAGGGCATTTAACATCACAAAGGGGTACAAAGATATAGGTCCTTTATGCTGATGAAGAAAAGGAGAGGATTTTATAGATAAGAATCCCACAGTACCTGTACTCCACCCAAGGTCCCTATGTAAGGTTTCCTCTCCTCTAAAAAAAGGCGCAATTTAATTGTGATGCACCTAAATATTTGTTACTTAAAAATTATGGCGGAAGATGAAGAAGAGGTTTTTGAAGAGCCGCATAAGGTTGTCGTTGGCCCATTTACAAATTTGAGGTCCCCTTTATTCAAGGCGCCTTCTGCGCTTGTGTCATAATCCACCACTATAGAACCTTAATTGCTTCATTAAGAAGCATATTAATGAATATTTACATAAAATAATTACCAATTATCTAATAGTGCTACTCCTAACATATTAGTTCTTAAATTTGTCTAATTGCATTTTTTTTTGAGAATAAAAAGCCTGTATTATTAGATGATAATTAAAGGCTAATTGACTAATTCCGGAGTATTAAGGAAACCTCGTCAACACAATTATTGGCCGATACACTAATGATAGAGGAGTCAATTTACGCGTAAGATTGATGGCTTCATGAATAATTAAATGTTTTCTAAATACGAATAATTAATTCAAATTTTATGTATTTGAATATTGTCTTCGAGTATGTTAGAAACGTCCATTAGGCATCGGTGATTAATTAATTAAAAACGGACGGAGCAACCCCGTATAAGGACGGAATAACGCGCCGCACCGCCGATTGCGCAATCGAATTCCGTTTGATAGGAATGGTGAGCAGCATCCGAGGCGCTGCTCACCAAGCAACTTCTAATTAACATAATAAATTAATTATGGGTACTCACCTGAGTGTCGGACGACTACTATGATGCAGGTCGTGGCGTCGTCGGAGCCGAGGATATTGACGTTCTCTGTAATTTATATAAAGCCATCATTACAAACAACATCTAAGGTGATGTTACACAAGACGACTATCAGGGAATCTTTAAATTAAATACAAATCCACGATGTGCGGCTTCTCTCTGGAGAGAGAGAAAGCTATTGTTTTGAAAGCTGCGCAAGATGGCAAAGGTTTTAATTTTTCTGACGGGTCGGTTCACTGTCGTTTACCTCCTTCTTCTATGGAAATTCAACAGACAAATTACCATTCGCTCCAGTCGATTAATTCCGCAATTAATTCGCTCATTAATCTTTCAAGCAGTTTAATATACATCAGCAATTAAAATCTTAAGGCTTTCGCATATCTCAGGTGTCGATAGGTATCTTTTGCTCAAGTGGACTTTTACACATTTATTCAATAAACAGGAAAGTTGAGTGTTTTGCCATTGCTTCTGCTTGAGCAATTAGATTTTTACTGTACTTTATAACTGAAAGAAGCAACATAAATAAACTAGTTTTTATTTTAAATTATGTTACAAATAATTAAAATCTTCAGGAAATATATACAAAATAATAAAATAAGTGTTAACTTTTACACTATTATTCACTATACCAAAAATGTTCAATTCTCGTTCAACTAATTGGATTTTATGTATTTTACAATGGAAAATTATAGTAATTAAAATAAATAAACATATATTAATTTTGTTTTAAATTATAAAATGCAATAATATATCTTTTTAGAAAAGACATGTTTTTATGAATTAAATGAAGACTTTTATTCACTAAATTGGAAAGTTTTGTTTTCTGCTTTGAGTTTTGTTCAACCAGTTAGATTTTAATGTATTTTATAATTTCTCAACCTACTCAATGACAGCTGTCACCTTGTGTCAAATCGAAAAACTGAAATACTCAATTTCGCAGTACTAATGCAAACAAATATTTTGAGTCGCAAGGTAAAAATTTGAGAAATGCAGTTATAATAGGTAATAGATGAATAAAACAATGTCTAGAAAAAAATATCCATCAAATACTGTTGTCTTCACAGCTGTAAATTGTTATTTTGAGTTATTTTCCCAAACTTTTTCTGTACTTTGTAAATCCTGAAATTTTTATGGAACAACTCGTTTATTTTGTATGGTAGGTAATACATATAATCAACAAAATTTAAAAAAAGATGATAAAAAACATGAATAATTTATTTAATAAGTATTTCATTTCAGGTTTTCACGGAACACTTAATGAAGTATATGAAACATATATTCAAATTATTGAACTTACATTTTGACAAACTTTCCAATCTATCTTCGTATATAATTTATATTTTCTACTACGCTATTTGTTTGTTATCAGTAGTCACGGATTTTCCAAGTCATCAATTATTTTATAAATATTGAATAAAAAATAGTTTGGGAAATACTGATATAAATAAGTTAATTTATTTTATCTGTAGCTATAAAAACAAATTGCTCGTAATCGTATTATTATTACTTATACAATGAATGTTTCATGTTGTCACAGACCCGATGATTTCATCTTCAAGTTAACACAATTTAATACAAATATCTTTTAATTTATAATACAATGTGCTACAAATTGCAATTCCCATCCGACAATTATTTCATTTGATAGTCAGCACTTCATTGCATATGATAGTAGACTTATCACGATTGTATTGAATACTCTATGAAATACTTGTAAAATGTATAATTGATACACAAGTATTTAGTAATGTATCACATTTTGCATGTAAAGTAGATGCAGGTGCATTTCATAGTCAATAAGATATTCAATCAATTTTCTTAAAAGAATGAAGCGAGAAATTGCCAAAGTTTTTAATTGCTTTTTAATTGATGTATTTGGGCAAAGTTTCGCAATATTATATAGTTAAAGTTGGCACACGATGACCGTGCGAAATATTCTGTGCAAAATATCGTGTATAACGTAATGTTATGTGTAAAACTTACTATCGTGGGGCACTGTAGCGGCCAGCTCTCTCTGCTGGACGTAGAGTAGACCCACGGGGCCTATAACTTTGTTGGGAATTGCCAGAAGTTGGGCTGCCGTATCCCTGTAAACAGGATGGGCATGGTACAGCGACCTCGTGTCAGGAGGACAGTCCTCCTGCAGCACTCCATTCAGCACTAAAACCATATCTGCAGATCCCTTTAATTTTTTCTTCCTTAGTCCTTATTATTTTCTGTAAAACAAAGAAGATTTAACATTAGATTATTTGAGTTTTACTTTTTATAAACTAACTATTTTTAGTTTTAATTGCATGTAATTATATTATCTTGATAATATAAATTAAATTAATTATATAAAATAATTATAAAGAAAATAACACATATACAAAACGAGCATATTTTCATGAGCGTTTTTACTTTGAACTAATTTAAATGAAAATATGTTAATCTAATTAATTATTTTATTTAGGTTTTTCGAAATATATGTAGTTTAGTACTTAGGCTTTGTTAAGGCTTAGAGCTTAGGCATTAAACGTAGTAACATTTAGTTAATAGTTAAATTAGAGCTTTCTTAGACTTTTAGTAGACCGCGTTTAATGCAGATTATATTCGTTAATTGAGGAACCGCTAAACGAGGTCTTTCTGTATTTGAAGAATTTGGGTGGTAAATTTGAATATTTTAAAGATCGATTTGTTTCTTTAACAAAAGTTATGTTACAATAAGTTAGTTTATTTTCAGTCTCCAAGCCTTGTTTAACTTTAAAAAATAAAGTACCAGATGCACACTTTATTAAAAAGAAATATATCCTTCAGGTTTCTACTAATAAAATATAATTTCCTTCAATATTAATAATCCACAAGAATCCACTTAATAAATTTTTTTTAAATAATTTAATTACATTCTTCTTGTTTACTGAAATTCATTCCGTATGATATTAAATCTTTTATTTTACATATTAAGTAGATGTAGGTGAATTTCACATTCCATTAGATTTTTAATAAATTTTCTTCAAAGAACGAAACAAAAAAATCCTCTTAATAAATTTTCTCAAATAAATTTAATTAAAACTAAAGTATTATATTTCATTCAATAATTTTACATATAAAGTAATATCCATATAGTGCGGCTTCGATCAGTCCGGATTCTCTATAGTCAAACAAAACAAAATTTTAATTGTCAAAATAAATGTTAAAAAATTAGTACACAAAATTAATTTTGTATACATAAAAGAATATTTATTTTCCTTTTTTATAGTCAAGTCCGTTTTTAAATAGTCTGTAATAGAGAAACCGCACTATGCGAGGTATTGCTGTATTTGGAAAATTTATTAACAAATATCTTTATGATATTCACAAATGGAACAGATACAAGAAAAATCAATTATAAACAGTGTGATTTAAATTAATTACGTTGTTGTTCGTTTTTGAAATCCCAATTTGCTGTAGCAAAATTCCAATAATAATATTATCATATTATTAGGATTTGTTGCATCACCTTGTCCATTCAAAAAGCGACCGTACATCAATCTGCCATTTCACTAATAAAAAAAAAAACAAGAAACTCGATTCATCTCGAATGTTTCCTCAGTATTTGAATAAAAATGTAATTATCGAAACAGAATTCGCATTCCGCTATTTCTGAATCGATTAATTCACGCTGCTTGTGCGGCGTTCCGTTTGCATAAATCATCGTAGGCGCATCTATTTATTTCGTCCGAAGATGTGTGTGTATGTGTCTACTTCTTTCACCATTATTATTATTCCATGGAGGTGAGAGTATCCACCACTACCGTATATGTAAAGGATAAAAATAGCAATTCCTCGCAGGAAAATTAAAAGGATGCATGATTAATGTCTACGTGGATATATCGTAACGTGAATTACCCCGTATTCCGTACCTAACGTCCGGCAATTTGTCTTTGCAATTTATAAAGCACCTACCAGGTAATGCCTCAACGTTTTGTTGCGATAAATCGTCGACGATTTGATACCAGTCGAGGATGAAGCAACAACAACAACGACAACAAAGCAAGAAAAAATAAAATAACGAACTGGGAGTGTGCAATGTTCGAACGCATACATCAAGCAAATTCCGATATGAGGTGAATTAATTGAGTGATTTAGCTATTTTTTTTTATTCACGTGATATTCAGAGTAAAACGACTTAATTGCTTTTCATAGGCGATGAATTGCATCCAATTCATTTCTGTCTCCGCAGCGTAACCAACCTCCCACGCTGTAATTGAATATCATCTCGACATTTTGTTATATCTGGTTTATGTCGTAATTTATCATACGACTAGGGTGGCTTTCTGCTGCTTTTTACTAGGTGGGTTTTCTATTGTGTTCCTGTTAGGACAACTAATCGACGTCTACTGTTGCTTCAGCTCTAAAGCAGAATTGCTACCAGGAAAGTTTCTATAAATATTGAAGAAAAACAAACGATGACGTGAATGCAAATTGATCACCACACATCAACAACAATGCCTTGAAATATTCAAGTAGTTCAATGTGAAAATTTACTTCCTTGAGCTTTCAATACTAATCAATTCATTTGCCTTTCATGTATTTGACAAAATAATATGTACTCATTTCATTAAGAAACCCAAAACTACTTCATCATATCACAATGAAATATAATTGTAGAATAACAGTTTCACATATTAACATCATAAGATATCTGGAAATTATTAATATAAAAATAATCCACAACATTATTATCATTTTAAAGATATGATTTTCTTAATAGAAACTAAAATGTTTTTCGGAAATCATTGATAATTTAGAATAAAAATATTGTTTACGATAATAATTCAATTGATCAATGATTAATTAATACATGTTTAATAAACGTATAAATTTAAGAATATTTTAGAAAATCATTAATAATAAATAAAATATTACTATTTATGAACAAGATCTATTAATTCCTTGTATATGCTAATAATTTGTAAATAATTATGTAGAAAAAGAGTGATCGTAAATCAACAGACAAAATGTCAAGATTATTTGTAGAAAAACTAAAAACTTTAGATTATAATTATTGTTTCATATCATTATAAATTATTTATATTATTCTGAAATATTTGACTTACCGGTTATTTATTTAATATATTGAATTCGGGCGGGAAAATGTCTATTGCAGCGTTTCTCAAAGCGAAATGACAGCTGTAAAATGTGTCAAAACTGTGAAATTTTCTTAGCAATTGAATCGCAGCACAACTACAAACAATTAAATTTATTTTGCTAAGTTTATTAACTTTTTGTGACTTTTGTCTAGTTTTTCAGAAAGTAGTTAAACCAAAGAAAGAAGTCATATTTAATAAAATTTATATAATATTATATAAGAAAGTATTATTTCAAAAAAGCATTTATAAGCAATTAAATTCAGAACTAGTGAGACTAATATCTTTTAATGTAAATATACCCACTTTTATGTAAAAGTGGTGAAAGCTAAAATTAATATTCATTTGTAAATCAAGATGTGTTCAAACTAATTTAACTTAATTAGAGATATTAGTTATGGAATATATTAACTACTAGTTTCGCTTTAAAGATGTTAATAATTTCTTCGATATTTTAATCAATCATATCTCGTATAATCAATAAACATCTAACATCTTCATCACCTCCTGCTGGTACTGATTTTATGCATCCATCCAAATTGAATATCAACGAATAACCACGAAAACCGATTAAGTAAATATATAAATGTACATTATTTACATAGCATTCATTTGAAATATATTGTTTTTTTTTTTAATATTTTTGGTTTCATTTATAAAGAGCAATTAAATAAAAAAAATATTATTAAAACGGAACTTATAGTAAAACTGAGAGATTTGATAAAGTATGGAATACTATTAAAGTATTAAAAGTAATATAGACTTTGTTCAGTTATGAAATCGTAAAAAAAACACAGATTTATTACTTAAGTAAAAAAATGAGTCAATTAACAAATTAACACAAACGTTTGTGTGTAAGAAAAACCTTAGTGAACATTTACAAAACTTTAGAACAAACATATATTTGTATAAAAAATATGTGAAGGCCAACAAGACTAGATTGAATGTTTAAAATTCTAATTAGTAATCAATTTAGATAAAAGAAATACATAAATATAATTTGCGCAAATCAACTGATATAACTTCCTATTTCGCTGTACGATGCAAATTTAAATATGACTATCAAAGATTTCCATTGAGTAATTTCAAAACACATTCCACATTTCCTGCTTTTGCTCTTACGTCTATTGAAGTTAACATACAAAAAGATGGAATAAAACATTATAATTTCGTAATTCTAACAATAAAATATAATACAATAATAACGTTACTATAAACGTTATTATTATATTAGTCATTAAAAAGTAAAGAAAAATAAATACATATTTATAATTCCAATCATAAAAACAACAATAATAGTGCAAAAATTCCAACATAATGTTATATTTATTACTTTTTAATTTAATATGTTGTAAGTATTATAAATATTACCTATTATTACCTATATATTACATAAAACTTCTTTTTTACATTAAATAAAACATTTATCGATTTGTCATAGTAGAATCAATAAAAAATAGAAAAGATCATTATTTTAATAATGAAAGTCAAACGTTAAAAACCTGTAAGACAACTTAACGACTTTTCTATCAGCGTTCAGAAGCAACCATGTAAAATGTATACAAATAGAAACAAATATTAAATATCCTGTTTACAAAGTAAACATCTCATTAATAATAAACATTAAAATAAATGTTTTATTTTCATTTTAGATCATTTCTTTTAAAATAATCATGATATTTGATATATAAAAATTTCAGTTTTATATTTAGTTACGATTTAAAACTTTCATCGAATGTTTCTTAGAGAATTTAAACTATTGATTATAAATTTTGTAGAATGACTTAAATCAATAAAAAAATGTCATTAAATACAAAAAAGCTGATTCATTAAATCAAATCTGTTTTTTCATACTAATTATAAATTTAAACTTAGTAAGTTTCATCGAATGTTTCTTAGAAAACTTAAACATTAACACAGTTTATTTCTTATAAGAACGAATGAAAAAATGTCATTAAATATAAAAAATCTGATTTATTAAATCAAATTGGTTTCTTCCTACTAAATATACAATTTATAAAGTAAACATTTTTTTTTGTACAATAGTATAAATCATAACTGATTGAAAAATAGAAAAGTAATTGACAAATCAAATACAATATAAATTC